GGAGGAGGAGGAGGAGGAGTGTAAGGAGGGTATGGCGTATATGATGAATATTCCATGGAGGTTTGAGGGTAAGGAATTCCTCCAGGAATTTGGCTGAATAGGTTCATCTCATGCCTCTTAGAAAAATACCTGAAAGGTTAACACAGAAAAATCCTACGGAAAACAAAAAGAAAACAAACTAAAAAAAATCTCGCTAAAATTAATTAACCCTTAAAACCGACACCGTCCCCGGCAACGGCGCCAAAAACTGATGTGAGTTTTCTTGCACTTAAAATAGATCGTAATATAGTGGTGTAAGTACGAGTATCGTCTCCACAGGGACGGACAAAAGGGAATCAAGAATTAATTAAATTCAGCGATTAAAAAGAAATAAAATAAATGCGTCGTGCGAGATTTGATTGGGTGGAAAATTAAACTAATGCTAATGAGCAATAAAATAAAAAGATTGGTTTCTCTCTAATTAATGACGAAGGGAATAGGGATTGATTCCGGGGTTAACAAGATTTCTGGCAGACAGACCTAATTACATGAATTTAATTTAATTGAGCCTAGCTAATCATTACTAAGTTCTTACCGCTCTCGCGGCGTAGAGTGTAATAATTTAGGGGACCAGGCTGATCTCTCATGCGACAGGATCCTAAATTATTGCCAAGACGAGCGAGCTTACGGCCCCTTAATCGCTACTAATCTCTTAGCGAACGATTAAGTGTGTGTGAATGTGTCCTAGAACAAATTAGATCTCTCTTAATTCATTCTACATGCAATTGTAATTTTAGCTGCAGTCTAGGTTACAAGAGATATCAATTAAATTATTCAAACACAAATTAAACGGCATTCATGCAATTAAACTGACAAGAATCTAGCCATCAATCATGATTAACCCCTTCATCAACCCCAAATCCCTAATTAAACTACTCACAATTCATAATTGAAGAATCAACAGAATTGAGATGAATAGAATAAATTGTCATTAATTAAAAAGATGAACTTACAAATAATCCCAGGGTCTTGGAAGAAAATAGCGTAAAAACGGTGTTAAATTCGTCCCTAGGCCTCTCCGTAATGTTCGTAACGTCAAAATATGGGTATGGGGTCTTATTTATAGAAAACAGATGAGTTTGGGCTGAACTGGGACTAAAAAAGGGCTGAAATCCGCGTCTCGGGTGTACGCACGATCGTGCGTACCTTGCCACGCACGATCGTGCGTAGCAGGCAGATTAGTTGCCGCGTTGTTGGCTCTTACGCACGATCGTGCGTCCTTTTACGCACGATCGTGCGTCCGTGCTCTTCAGCCTTTTTTCTATTCCGAATTTGACAAAACTTCCTTCATGAAAGTTGTAGATAATGAAGTCCTCTATCCACCCCAATTTGCCGAATGTGATTTGAATCATCCAATCAAGAGATATGACTAAAATGGTGGAAGGTGTCATTCTGAAATCGCAGCAGAGATCATCTGACTTCATCATCTGTTTTCACCTTGATCCTCTCAGATTCTCGGAATGATGTCTTCATATGATTTGTAGCCCTTGAAGTTGGCTTTCATATGGAACTTGAATCGTGTACATTGGTTGTTTCTACAAAGAGATATGCTTGAACGATTGACAGAAGGTCATCCTGATCGTCGTTTTCAAGCTTCATTCATCTTCTTTTGACCCCGTAGCCAATCCTAGAGCTTTTTTTCCTTCAAATCTTCATCGTGAATCTTTCGGTGACCTCCAAATCTATCAAATGCTTCTCAAATCATCCCGATTGTTCCTCAAGTGCCAGTGCCGGGCTCAAATTCCTTGATTTTGACTACAAACAACACAAAACTCGAACCAACGCCCGGTAAACATAACTTGAGCTAAAATTGAGACTTGTAACACCTTAAAGCTAGGAAAACCATCAAAATCCGATCTCAACACGCATCAAATACGTGTCTAAATACGGACTTATCACACCACTAGTGAACGGGGCGGTTTTGGGGCGGATAACGGGGTGAATTAGTATAGAACCATAACCGCACCATTAACCATTTAAAAAATTCGGGTATTCCCCGCCCCGTACCCATTCCCCAGGTTGACCAAATCGGTTCGGTGCGGGTATCCAACGGGTCGGTCGAAATTGCCATCTCTAGTGGTCCACACAACCGGATGATTATGTTGAATCATTTCTCAATTCGTCGTTTTACTATGGAGACACAACGGGGCCTTGGAACACTGGCGGTGGGGACGGAGCAGGGCCGAGCACGCAACGTTAGATGTTGTATTAAATTTAATATTGTATGTACTCTCTATTCAATAATAAATTACACTGAAAACTACATTTGTTTTGTAGTTTTCTTATTTAAATTACAAAAAAAAATCACTGAAAACAAAATCAAATTTGTATCTAATTTGACGAATGGAGTAAATCAAAATTGCACTTAAAATTACAAAATTACAATTAAAACAAAATTCACAATACAAATGGATTAAAAAACAATATAAAACAATCAATTGTTTTGTTACTAAAAAAATCAAAATGCTAAGTTTTCATTTTAAAAAATAATGCACGAATCTAAAAAAACTTTTAAATTTGGAATGGTAGAATTTAGCCCTAAAACTTATAGTTTTTACAACTCAAAACCAAAAGTTTAGAAATTCGGCAAAAAAAAAAATAAAAAAACTCTAGTCGGAATTGGCAAATCCGACTAGAGAGTTGGGGAGTTTCTCACCCAAACTCTCTGGTCGGAACTGGGTAATCCGACATGCATTTTTTGGTAAAACCTAAGAAAATCCCCGTTTTTTGGCAACCCAAACCCCCTTTTCCCGTGTTTCGGTAAATCACCCTCTCCACAAAGTTTTTCCACAAAGTTCTTCCTAGTATGGAGGTGGTTTCGGAAGAGGACGAGCTCTTGCAATATTTCCACAAAGAATACCAACTCAACCACCGTCGGAATGACCGACCAAGGCTTCACGATCCAGCCTCGATACAATCTCCTAGCCGCACCACGTTCATCCACCAACGCTATCTCCACCGATGTAGTTGCAATCCATAGCACTAGAACACTTAAAATCAGTATAATCTGCCGCTCCAACCCCATATTGTTAGGGGCGGCAAAAAAACTCAACCTCTACAAAGAGGGGAGACGGCCGCTAGGGTTTCTCTCTCTAGAGAGAGAAGAGAGAATTTTACGTTTTTTCCATCTATCTCATATTTATTTATACTTCACAATTTATGTTTACGTTGTTAAATGAGTTAGCACTCCCCAATTTCATATCTTGGATCGTCTAACTGTCTAATGGTCTCAAACGACGCACATTATTTTTAATGGGGTGCACAATAAACTTATGGTTAAAATAACTCAGACTTTAAACGGACATGAAAGGTTGAATTTTTACAAAAATGTCAAAACACTTTTTTATAATTTACAATTTTCAAATCTAGCGTTCCGGTACATATATTAGAAATAATGCTAAAGTAATTTATTTAAATTATTATTATATATAGAAATAATGGTTCAACAAGGGTTGTAAATTAATACGTATATTTGAAAATTATTTTGGTAGTAAAACATCAATATTGAAGATATGAAAGTAAAAAATAGATGTTTATATATATTTTGATTGAGTCGCAACCTGCATGAGCCAACTCACTTAACTTGCAATCCGTGCAAGTTGCACTATGAAACGAGTGGGTCCATTGCATTGAAGAATGACAATTCTAACCCACCGTGAGATGAGATGAAATGGGCTAGCCGCCCTATGGACTTCGACTCATTTTAAAACCAATTGATGAATTCATACACAATTCATTTTTCCTACAATTTTAAACTTTAAGCACATATTTTCTCGTGCAGTGCACGAGTACACATACTAGTTAGTTGTTAAATGAGTATGATTTTGTCAAAGTTCTAAAAATTAAATTCTAAAGTAGTGTTTAATAATAAACAATTCTTTGATATATTTAGAAAGTACGTAGTACGGAGTAGTTTTTAATTTCTATTTCAAAACTAAAAGATTTGTTTATTGATACTTCGTATGTTTCAATAATCCAATTGTTGTTAAATATGAAACATGTTGCTTTGTATTCCTTCATCTATTTAATTACTGTGGCAGAAGTAATGTAGTTTTAGATTGTTTTTTGGAAAAATTGACAAGAATAATCTCACCTTTCACTGGTCTTCTCATAATAATCTCACCTTTAAATAATCCCAAAATAATCTCACCTTTGCACCTCATCTTCTTTCATTGGATCATGACCAAGTTTTTTACCTTTTTTAAAAATCTTATATAAATAATCTCACATTTATAAGTATATAAGTAAAAAGTGAAAGGTGAGATTATTTGCATAATTTTCAAAGAAAGAGTAAAAAACATGGTCAGGGTCCAATGAAAGAAGATGAGGTGCAAAAGTGAGATTATTTTGGGATTATTTAAAGGTGAGATTATTATGAGAAGACCAGTGAAAGGTGAGATTATTCTTGTCAATTTTTCCTTGTTTTTATGAGTGGTGGAGTGCTAATTTTCCACTATCATCCTATTTCACATCTCCCCCACAAGCACATTAGTATGGTCCAATGGTGTACTGAAGTTTTATTAAGGAATCATACAACAACAACAATCCAGCCTTAATCTCAAAAGAATTTGGAATCGGCTAACATGAAATGAGTTCATCTTAAAATAGCATTTTCTTTTTATAAAATCATATACCAATTCATTTAGCTCTTTCTACCAAATGAGTACACTCCATTTGGTTTTGTTTTCAGATTTCGATTCAGATTCCTAACAGAACCGTGCCCTAGAATGTACTCCCTCCGTCCCAAAAACAACTTCACACTTTGACAATCACATAGATTAAAAAAATAAATTTGACTTTACGGTTGGGTGCACTGTTCAAACACTGTTTGACACTGTTTGACACTGTTTTAATATAGATAATTTGACAAATAAGGAAAATATTGAAGTGTGAAGTTAATTTAGGGACATCTATTTAAGAAAAGTGGGAAGTTGTTTTTGGGACGGAGGGACTACAATGTTAGCTAAAATAAGAGCCAATTATTGGTTCAAAATGCTACCAATGTTATAGCCAATGCTTGCATGGGTAAGATCGTTGTTGCAAAGGAATTCATTTTCAAATACGTTTGCAGTGTATCAAATATAAATCCACAACTGTAGCACCAAGATGCTTATAAAAGGCATCCCACATCATTGGATCGGAGCTCACTACACGCTATACTCTAAACTCTTGAGTCTTTGTATCGATCTAAGGTATTTTTCCAAATGTTGTTTGATTCATTCCCACATGATAACAAATGGTATTTTGCCCAACGTACATCTGCACACAAAGCTGATCATATGTTATTCAAAGTTTGGTGAAATGGGAACCGCTCAGAAGGTGTTTGATGGTATGGGCCAAAAGAATTTGGTTTCTTGGACTGCGTTATTGTCAGGGTATTCTCGAAATTTGGATTCAGGAGAAGCTATGAGAGTGTTTAGTTCAATGCACTGTGAGGGCTTAAAGGGGAATCAATTTACATATGGAAGTGTTCTGAGGGCCTGCACCAATTTGTTGGGTTTGAATCAAGGTAAACAAGTACAAGGGCGTGTCCAGAAGAGCAGATTCGCTGAAAATTTATTTGTGCAGAGTGCATTGCTTGATTTCCACTCCAAATGTGGGGAAATAAATGACGCTCGTCTTGTGTTTGATTCAATGTTGCAGAGAGATTTGGCTTCATGGAATACAATGATTGGTGGATATTCTTTTCAGGGATTCTACAATCATGCAATTTTTATGTTCCGCTCGATGCTAAGAGAAGGTAAAACTTTTGGCAGTTTTGGGTTCCTGCTATTATAAATTCAGTTCATATTCGTATATGTATGTTTTTTTATACTATACAAAAAAAATCACCACAAACCAGCCATGATTCTGCGTGGCTACTCATTTAGCACTCTATGTGCCCTATAAAAGCTTCACTCGGTCCTTATATAGCAGTTCCAAAAGGGGTTGCGCACCCCATTTTTACTTTATGGAACCCCGCCCTGACAATTTTGATCTTTGTTATTCTAAAATCAAAATTAAATAGAAATGATGTTTTGATCTCCTAGTATGACACGGCCTGCCTATTAAAAAAAAGAGGTTTATATATCAACTTTAAATTGACACTCCATCTGATCCCTGGCTGTGTTGCAAATATTTTTTAATAAAATGTAATAATTTCTTATTTTGTGATCAAATTTTTAAAAAAAATATCAAATTAAATAATTTTTATGATCTTTTATATGGAATTAATAGTACATATGTAATTTTTTATAAACATATTATTCAAGTTAGGTCTATTTAAGAGTCTCTTTGGTGACCCTCTTTTCAGCTTATTAGACTTCAGCCCACTTTTAAATCAAACACGTATTTTTTATTTCGCGCACTAAATTGTGAAATAATAAGAAAAATTAAGGTTAGAGTTACTTTACTGTAGAGGGTCATTTTAGCTATTTTATATAATTTTTTCTTTATCATATTAATAAAATATATTTTAAAAATAATTTTTTCATAAATCAGCATGATCAACCAATACAGTCACTTTAACAACAACTTCATAAATTTCATCAAAATTAGTCGATGCAGCCGATTTCGGCATTTCCAAACGGGCTCTAAATCTATCTAGATATAAATTAGTTCAATTTGAGGAAGCGGTCCAGCCCAGCTAGTCGTCGACTCACTCTCCCGTACGGGAGGTCTCAGGTTCGAAACTCAATGGAGTAAGTTTCAGCCCTGATTACTCCAGACTCCCAGACCTCCTCCCCCAGACGCCTCCTCCTCCCCCAGACGCCTCCTGGAGTAAAAAAAAATTAGTTCAATTTAAAACATCATAAATGTCATTCACATGTGTGTTCATAGATATGACATATATGGCCTTAACAATGTTGATTCAACATGATGCTCATCAAGGATGGTTTCTTTTGGACGGTTTTCAGTCCTAGACCAGACCAGATCAGACCAGACCAGATTTCCATAGCTATAAAATACACAGAGACCAGACGTTTACCAGATCAAACCAGACCAGACCAGCAAATTTCAGTCCAAAAGAAAACATCCCAAGTTTTAAAAGGTGGGGTCCTTCACTTAGAGTTGTAAAAAAATCAAAAAATTAATTATACAACAACATCTAAGCCTTAGAAGCTGTTATGTTCGTCTTAATCTTATTACTTATTGCTTATTCTTATTATATTCAGATCAGATCAGATCAGAAAAATTCAGATCAGATCAGACCAGATCAGAAAAATTCAGATCAGATCAGATCAGAATCATTCAGATCAGATCAGAAACATTCAGATCAGATCAGAAACATTCAGATCAGATCAGCAACATTCAGATCAGATCAGAAAAGTTCAAGACATGATTTATCCCTTTTGTTATAATAATAATTATAATAATATTAATTATTATTATTATTATTAATTTATTATTGTTGTTGTTGTTATTGTAATTATTATTATAATTACTATTATTATTGATATTATTATTATTATTATCATTATTACTATGATTGCTATGATTATTATTATTATGATTATTATTATGATATTTATTATTATCATGATTATTATTATTATTCATATTACTATTATGGTTGTTGTTGTTGTTGTTAGTTTTTTTGGTTATTATTATATTACACGGAGTAATTACAATTAAAATTATAGAAATAAATATTATAATTATAATTAAAATTATAATTATAGAAATAATTATAACTAAAAATATAATTACAATTATAATTATAGCTGTTTTTTGTTTACTCCAGGAGGCGTCTGGGGGAGGGGGTCTGGGGGGGCTGAAGTAAACTAAGTTGAAGCTCACCCCATTCAGTTTTGAACCCGAGACCTCCAATAAGGGAGAGTGAGTCGGCGACCAGCTGAGCTGTACCGCTTCCTCTAATTATAGCTATATTTATAACTAGTGTAATACGTATAATAATAATTATACCTATTATAATTATGATTATAATTATAATTATAATTTTCTTTATAATTATGATTATAATTATATTTATAATTAAATTATATAGGTGTAATTACATTTCTAATTATAATAATTAAAATTAAAATTATAAGAAATATTCAAATCCGATCAGATCAGAAGGATTCAGATCAGATCAGGAACATTCAGATCAGATCAGGAACATTCAGATCAGATTAGGAACATTCAGATCAGATCAGAAAGATTCAGTTCAGATCAGACCAGATCAGAAAGATTAAGATCAGATCAGAAAAATTCAGATCAGATCAGAACTTAAAAAATTCAGATCAGAAACATTCAGATCAGGTGAAGAGAACAAGTTGTTAGTCCCAAAAGATATTGGGGTCGACTAACATGAATCCATACATGATATCACCACCAAAAGGAAAGGAAAGAAAATAAAGATAAAAAAAGAAAAAAAAAGAGAGAGAAGCTATTATAAAAAAACCTATATATACAAAAATATAAAAAAATATATATAAAAAATATTAAAAACTTTGGATAAATAAAAATACATTAAACTAACATTCTAAATTATATATAGGAGCCGTTAATTTATAAAAAAAAACAATTTCAATTTGAAGTGTACTTATTAGTTTGACATCAATTTATTTATTGCGTGACATTAATACATCAAGAGTTCTATTTTTTAAATAATTTTTAGATTCATCCTCCATTGTATAAAAAGTTTGTAAAAAGTTTATAAAAGAATTAATATTGGGTTCCAAATATTTATATAATACTAATAATAGTTGTTTGATGATAGTTAGAAAGTGTAATCCTGATTCTATTAGAAATTTGAGTGTATTTCAACGATAGTCACATTATTTTTGTAAAACATGTTACACAAAATTTTAGGAAACATTCAAACCTATTTTTATTATTTTAGACAAAAAATTGGTGCGCAAAGCAATTTCGGTGGCACGCGGAGCAGAGGGGGTTCCAAAATATTCTTCATTTATGTATTGTACTGTTGCTATAATGCCAAAAATATTTGTCACAAGTAAATCGGTCGATGTGATTCTTCATGACTACTCAATTAATATAGTAATATACTCCCCCATAAGCTTCACTTATTACAAAAACTTCAGTTTCCCCCCTAGTTGGGTGGATTTTTTCCACTTGGTTGTTACTTCACATGCGTCACATTTTCTCCATTATATCAAAGCTTAAATATTACTTCACTCATGCTCTGTGAAGGTTCAAGGTTTGACATTATTTATAACCAATCATTACATTTAACATATGACATCTAGTTTGCCCCTTCTCCCTGCTAATAACAGGTTTAAGTAATTAGTGGTGATGGATGGATGGATATATGCATGTGCGTAGTAAAATAACAACTTATATAGGAAAGAGAAAACAACTTATTTAGCTTTTAAGTAAGAAAATAACATATTTAGCTTCTAAATTGGAACATTATTTAGGAATGTATAAAATATATATTTTAGCACTTATTCCTATCTTAATTCTTAACTACTTTATTTACTTAAGTATGCTAAAACAACTATGAAGTATGAACTTTATAGTGGAACCCAGGGAGTAGTGTGCAGGTTGACATAAGCTTTCATATAATTTTTTGCCTTATAGAATGAATATGTTGCTTATATGTAGGTATGCATCCTGATTGCTTCACGTTTGGAAGTATTCTGAGAAATTCATTTGGAGGTTATAGAGTCGATGGACTTATGATTGTTAGCAGTATACATGGTATCATTGTTCAATTGGGGTATGAGTTGGATAACGTGCCAATTGGATCTCTGGTTGACGCCTATGTGAAGTATGGGAATTTAGCTGGTGCAAATCGTCTTTATAGAAGTATGAAGAAGACAGATATCATATCATGCACTACATTAATTATGGGATATGCTCGTCAATGTAAAGGCATTGATGAATGCATGAATCTCTTTTTAGAGTTGCACCGATTGCACGTGGGAATTGATAGTGTAATATTGTGCTCAATGCTTAGTTTGTGCGCTAAATCAGCATTATTGTGTCTAGGAAGGCAGATGCATACTCTTGCATTGAAATATCAAAATAAACATGATGTAGCCTTGGGAAACTCTTTGATTGACATGTACTCAAAAGCAGGTGAGATTGAGGCTGCTAAGAGAATTTTTCATCACATGGAAGAGAAGAATGTAATCTCATGGACATCAATGATATCTGGATATGGTGTGCACGGCCATACTGAGAACGCAATTTCTCTTTACAAGAAGATGGAATTGCAGGGAATTCATCCAAATCATATTACGTTCTTGTCCCTTTTCTCTGCTTGTAGGCATACTGGCTTGACTTCTCAAGGCTGGGAGTTCTTCCTCAATATGGTTGGCAAATATAAGATTTGCCCACTGTCGAAGCATTATGCTTGCATGGTAGACCTTTTGGCACGTGAGGGTTGTTTGGAAGAAGCCCATAGTTTGATATGTAGGGAGAATATTAATCCGAGTGCTTCTCTTTGGGGATCACTTCTTGGGGCGTGTAGTATGCATGAACATATGCATCTTGGAGAGTTAGCAGCAAAGAATTTATTTAGTATGAACCCCCAAGAGTCTGCCAACTATGTTGTCTTAGCTAATATATACGCATCAACAGGTTTATGGCAAAAGGCTGCCGATACACGGGGATTGATTGTTAATAGGAGGTTACTGAAGAATCCTGGTCATAGTTTTGTCCTGTCAAACAGCAAGAATTTATTACTTCTTCCCGCTGGTTGGTAGAAAGGTCTGTGAGGAATTCAATGTATTTGATTTCAGATGTGTTATTTTTATGCATTTATTCATTGTGCTTAATGATCGAGCATTTGAGCTGCCCTTAGCAGTTAGCTCATATATACATACATATGCAATTTTGAACTTTCGTGCAGAAAAAGAAAGGATTAAAGGATAGAGATAAGGAGCTCATTGACTTGTTTATTGTTGTTGTTAGTCAACCTAAAGTTCCATCTCGTTAATTATCTCTTTGTGTGTACAAATGCTATTATTTTTTCAGGGGAAATTGGAGTTTGCACCCCACTTTATTGGGTAAATTTGACTTTGCATCATGTTTCGTAAAACCTTAATATTTGCACCCCTCTCTGTCATATACTCTGTTTAACAAAGAAACTCCCTCTGTCCGCCCTAATTAAAAATTGTAGATAGACTATAATGCCCATACCTAATAGATCAGCGACCTTTCTGAATTCTGGCCATTGTTCATTCTTTCCCAATTCTCACGTAAGTTGAAATAGGGTTTCAACAATTGAAGATGATATATGAACTCAAAGCTTTGTTGGGAAGATAGATATGCAAATATGAACTATTCTAATCAAGATGGTGGGCGAGTGGTCGATTTCTTCACTTCAGGAGAATGCAAAGAGTTTGTCTTGGATTCAGAAGCACTCACACCAACCCCAATAGAAATGACGAAGAGGACGTCTAAGAAATTGCCGGTGAAGAGAAAGATGATCCCTTTACCAGATGCGACTATGCGAGTAACTAAGTAAGATTAACTAAATTGCCAAAAAAAAGATTAACTAAATTGCCTCTTACTGTATCTATTTTTCTTCTTCCTTGCCAACAATTTAACAAGCAGTAATTCACTATGATGAAAATGCACGAACTCATGTAAGAAAACGAAGTAATAATACATAGAAGCAACATATGCTCGGACTAGGATGGTCCTTGGTTGTCCTTCCTAGAAACTAAATGCGGCCTAACAGAATGCCGGGTGGTGGACATGTGCTCATCTATTTGGTTTTTCTGTCTGTTAGGCTGAGCAGTGCTATGGGAATCCTTACGGTGTCTGGTCTTCAATAACTGGTTATAGGCTTATAGCTATAACATGTAATGTATGAAGAAATATTGCAATATCTACTAGTTGTTCTTCGAATTGCCTTGATGTATGCATTTTATCTCAATGAGATCAGGTACAATCTCTAAGTGATTTTTTTTGCTGGAGAAATGTGTATTGTCTATAAATATTGTTCTATCTGTGATGTAATTATACTCCTCTCTGTAAGAATAAATACATGTTTAATGCAAAAAAAAAATACATAGAAGAAAAAAGTTTGGAAGTGTAATATGTAAAGTATAGTGCCCTGATAGAAGCTTCTTTATTAAGCCCAAGTAGTTTATGCAGTTGTTTTGTGACATACCGACATCTTAAGCCAAAATTATAGTGCACACATTTGTTGACTTATACATTGCTTTAATAAATATGCATTTATTAGTCTAGTTTATATGGTAAATGTTAAGCTTCTTTTTTTATAATGTTTTCTTTTGTCCTTTGCAATCACTAGGGATCCATTTCAAGACAACCCCACTACTGAAGGACTCAATAATGATGCCTTGGGTGATATATACGGTGAAGTGCCTCCACTGAATCATATTGCAAATGCAGAAACAACTGAGGATGCATTCCACTATTATCAAGGCATATTGTAATGTGGCAATGCTATAATTTATATTGGGTATTTAGATTTGTTTCTAATAAAATAGTTTTATTTAAGAAGTTCTAAATGTGTTTTAAATACAGTTGTTATATGGGATTATAGGTACCCAATTTAATGAGATTTCTGATGGATTGGATGGGTATAGTCTGAATGACTCAGATAGTGAATCAAATGATGGGAGTTGCACACCATATGACCAATCAAACAGTGAAGTTGAGAGTGACTATATAGAAGAACAAGATGAAGCTGGCATGGAAAATGAAGTTGTTTTCCCACCTATACTTTCAAGGGCTCCTGGAAGACCTAAACACAACCGAATGAAGGGGCACGATGAGAATGAAAAACAGTCCAAGAATATAAAACAGTCAAGCTCTACAGTTTTTTCTCTACATTTATCCTCATTTTATAGCTATATGCGCATGAATAGTTATTACTCCCTCCGTCCCAAAATCGTTGGCCAATGTTGACTTGCACGTGGATTAATAAAGTAAAAACTATGTGGTTGAAATTTGTGCAGAGGAGAGAGAATTAACTTTAACCACATATTGCTTACGTTAAATAAAAATGGCAAAATTTTTTGGGACGGCCAAAAAAGGAAATTTGGCCAACGATTTTGGGACGGAGGGAGTAATTATTAGCCGAAGCTATTCATATCAGCCGCCATCTGCTCTGAAATGATGTTGGAGCATATGAGAAGTATGACAGGAAGAAGAGTCTGCTGTTGCGGAATGAAAGTTGATTTATTGGGTTGTGTTTTGTACCTTTGCTCCCCCCCCCCCCACTAATTTGTTTTACTTCCGAAAAACAATTAATGTCACCCCCATGCCATTGACACCCACAGTATGACATGAACCAACTTTATGGCTACCCAAGGGTGTACAAAGCAGAATCCTCCAAGGAGATTTCTTACAGCTTGCAATTTAAGAGCCTATTTGCGGAGGCTAGATTTGGTGTAATTGACAGAGTTTGCTGATACTGAGCTGAGTTAGTTAACTTGTTGAATTATATGTATATATTTAAAAGAAGGTAATGTCTAAAATGAGTGTATAAATCTCATTTAGTTTGTTCCACTTTCATCTTGCTCGTCCATAACTTTTGCACCTTTTTGATATATTAACCACTTCAAACAATTTAGTTTTTGGTATGTACGAGTAATACGATTTAATATGATTGATATGATCAATAGACAAAACTATGATGCCACCAAATAGGCTCTAAATGAAAACAAACAAGGAAACAAACTGTTATCAGCTGATTCAGTTATATGAAATGATGTAGTAGACTTGGGGTGTGCATAGATGCAATCATAAAATCATAATCTGTGGGCGTGTTTTTTAGATTGAAACTGGTGGCCAAGCATGAGACTGGGAAATTAATTGATGAAATCTCGGTTTTTTAGATTATTCTCAGCGGTGATCTTGAGATTTATAGATTTTGATACTTGGTATTTTCCTTCATTATCTACTGCAACTTTTTCCAATGTGATACAAATAGGTTTAGGCGTAATTAGGAAGTTTGGACTATAGCCTCCGGCTTGGAATCGCATTGAAGTCCATCTTTGTCTGTAGTCACCCCCTTTCATTCAACTGTAGGAAGTTTTGTATATTGTTAGGTGTCAACTGTCAACCAATTGGTTTTACATTGCAGCGATAGTTGAGACATGAGTGTTGTGTGCTATAGAAACCAGTTAGTGGAAGAAATGGTGTATGGGTATTAAACGATATTAGAATATTAGATGACTCGGTTAGGGTACCAAGAAAATCATTTATGTTTTCGTAAGTCATACTTCATCCCAAAACTCAATTGCGCTTATTAGACTATATACCCAGTAAAAAAAGGAAATTCTTATAAACTTCAACATGCCAAGATAACATTAAACCACAAATGGCATAAAATCAAGGAAACACAAACGTAGAAAGAAAAACATAATTGATCTTTCTGTCATTCCCATAACTAAGTAATCCGTAGTGGTTATATTCTACTATATCTTCATATATAGTTTTGGTAACACCACTTATCCTGATTATTCCTGCTAGATAAGTTCCCAAAACATCACACTAGGGCGGCATCGAACCACTATGAACCATATACTTAAAAATGCCTACAAGTTAAGACATGGCTTATAAAATCATCAGAAAATATTTTTTGGTCCCACAGCTACTAGGTAATTACCATTTTTTATACCTAACTTCCATTTTCCATTTTAGTACAAGAGCAACAGTTTTAGTCACTTATGGTGCTTTCTATGATTCTATCATTTAGCCCATCAATTTGTACATCTCTGGTGATTTTCTTTAGAATAACGGACAAAGAGAACCAAATGGAGCAAAATATCATAGTTATGCATCAACAGTGGAAAGAAATAAGTTCTGGATAAAAAATAGAATGACCTACAAATCATAGGACCAAAAAGTGTTTTTTTCCTTCTAAAATCCTACTTGCCACTACAATCAGGGTTTTTACCAGTCTGGTAGAACTGCAGCTCAACAGTCAACCAAAGGCAAAATCAGTCAATTTCCCCTGCAACCATGTCAGACGTATGCTGCCATTGAGAGAGAGAAACGCCTCTCTCAGATTTGGATCCTCAAACAACTCAAGAGCTGAATAGTAATGTGTGTCATGTATGCCTTCCATATCATCCAACGCTTTAATGCACTTACTTATACTGAATCTTTTGTCAGATTGGGGAGGGGCACCAATTGACCCCACCTTTGATGAAGCTATCATCTCTTGCAACGTTTGCGAGATAACGTCAATCATCTCACTGTCCCGACTACTGTCACCTGAATCTGGAACTGCCTCACGGGGGCGCTTTCTCTTCTTTTCTGTTCCAGTCTTAGCCATGGACTTTGGCGGTGAACCAGGGAAGTATGTCAAAGGGAATGGGGTCACAGGTGATGTGGTTTGGTTTTCTGCTAAAGACGAATGATCTACTACTGCTGCTGCTGATTTTTCCAATTCTCCATAGTGACTTGACTGCGCATACTTCCCATCGGCATCAGGCTCTTCAAAAATCAAACACAGTTCCTCATAGATTGGACATTCCTTGATCTTACCCGTTTCTTGTTTCGGTTGACCCTGTAACACCAACAATGTATGAGAAAACGCAAGAAGTGATAGCAAAATGATAAAAAGACCTCATGGTGTAAACTATTCCTTGTGAAATCACATTAATACCATAGTGGCAACATAAGGTGTGAATGCATATTGATGATTTCATATTAGTAGTGCACACCTGGTATAACAAAATGATACCCTCAAAAGGGATAGTCCCTCAAAAGCCATATGTTTCAACAAGGTACTAGATCGTGACTTCGTGAGAGACGTGGAATAGGCTTTTTGCTTTTAGCTTTTTCCCATTTACTTTTTAAAAAATGATAAGCATAAACTATAGTGCTTAAAAAATCAAATACGTCTCACAACATACGGTACGGGTATCCTAAAGTATCTATGATGTGAACATTTCATATACATGAATACGGTATGGTTGGTACCCCAATCATGTTTCTGTGATACATAGCTGGCAAATTACACTCATACTTTTTAAATTAATCTCCTTGTTAAACAAACATAGTGCTTATTTCATAAGGATTATTTGTCTGGAGTCTGAACAATGTGCTGAATTTTCCAAGGAATAGTGTTTGTAACTTGAGGCAAATAAGACAAAATCTGCAGATTCTGATTATTCAGCTCAATACTAGAATAAGCTGCTATATGCTCCCAAATATAGCCTTGAGATACTAGCTTTCTGTTTTTATGAAAAGCCACATGAAATTCAATGAAAATGAGCTTCTTTTATTGAAATACGACTCTTCTTTCGGATGCATGAAGTTAAGCAATACTATAGGAGAGGGAGAGGGGTACCCCTAAATCATCACTCATACTTATGTCTATAACTTTATTTCTTTATACGTGACTCGGCAGGGAATTTGTGGCAGGGATGGCTAAGGATGTTTTTACTTGGACTGTAATCTGTCTAGACCAGACCAGACCAGACCAGACTTGGATAGTTATAAAAATACAAAGAGACCATACATTACCAGCCCAAACCAGCAAATTACAGTCCAAGTAAAAACATCCTAAACCGTGGTCCGGTCAGTGCTCAGCACGGGAAGGGGAGCTACTTGGCATCAAGGAAGCTTTATCATGACTTCACTCGGAAGGATGGGAATGTGGAGGTGGAATCGGATGCACTTAACGCTGTTTCTGTGATGATCATTCACAGGAACAGCCCTACGTCTTTTGGTTTGACTGCGGGTGATATTAGAGAAGTCATAGCTAGTTTTAATAGCATTAATTTTCTCATATTAGGAGATCTATGAATCATGTTGTTCATGAGTTTGCTAGAGTAGCGGGTTCTTTGCCTGATTGCCGGGCTTGGTTTGGTGTTCCTCCTAGTTTTGTTATTCTTGTTCCGACTCATGATTTTATTAATAGTTGTTGATTGTTTTGCCTTCTAAAAAACCTTACTTCTTTGTTAAACTAAATATAATGCTTGTTTGGTTAAGGATTATTTGTCTAAACAATGTGCTGAATTTTTTAAAAGGAATAGTGTTTTGTAAAAAAAACTCAGACAAAAGCTGCTTATTCTGAATAATCAGCTCACGAGTAGAATAAGCTGATTAATGCTATCAAATACAGCCTTAGGATACTAGCTTTTTAAAGCCACATAAAATTCAATGAAAAATAGCTTCTTTTATTGAAATACGACTCTTCTTGAGATGCATGGAGTTCAACAATAATATAGGAGAGGGAGAGTGGAATGGAGAGAAGGGTACCCCTATGTCTTCCCAAAGATCAAAACCATCAAAACAATCTGCCAATGAATCATGTTGACCAGAAGCAGATGACTTGAAAGAGTAGTAACGAGTCCTGAGTACATCAAGGTGTTTCCTCAACTGATTGTTGTTGAAATCGAGGTTTGTTTGTCTGTTAAACTCACTGCGGATGTAGTTCCAGGTTTTCTTATCAAAGACATTGTTTGGTCTGTTTCCTAGACGAATCTGCTCAACAACTAGTTCTGCAAAGATCTTGTCAAGAGACGGTGTCCATCTTGTTCTCAGACGCTCTTGCTTTGGCTGCTGATCGTTAGTATCCATATCCATCTGCAAATTTTCAAGTCATTGTTATACATAGAGATTGCAAATTACTGTAATGAGCACTTCCATGTAAGGGATGCATAATTGTTTTTGGCAAAAAGACAAAACTTAGAGCCCGTTTGGTAGCACAAAAATCGGCTGTTTTGGCTGTTTCTGCTGAAATTTATGAAGTTCTGGCTGAAGTGGCTGTTTTGGCTGATTCTGCTGATTCTAGAAAAAAATATTTTAAAAATATATTTTATTAATAAAATAAAGAAAAAATTACATGTAAAAATAGCTAAAATGGTCATCTACAGTAACTTCAGCCAATACAGCCAGAAAAGTAACTACAACCTTATTTTTTCTGCTTATTACCCAATTCAGCACGCGAAAGTAAAAATTACGTGTTTGGTGAAAAAGCTGGCTGATAAGCCTGATAAGCCGAAAAAGGGAGTCTCCAAACGGGCTCTTAATCTGCTTATTCAGGAACAAAATGGCTGATGTAGCCATATCTGTGGGAAATGTCACTGGCTTGGCTGAATTACGGTTTTTAATATTTATAATGTACTCTTAAAATGAATTAAATAAAATAATACTCCCCGTGTCCCAAAAAGAGTCATGTATGGTGATATGGTCAAAGTATAACTATTCCATTTTGGAATGTTACACGTCTTAAACAGGATGTCTTAATTGTATTTTTTAGTTTTAGGTTTCACTAAATTGTCGTATTTGACTTCTGGTAACTCAATTTTCACAAATTACATGAAAATTTAATCCTAATGTGACCTTTGATATGTCTTATGCCTTTTGATTTTCTTTACATCTCTAATATTTGGAGCCACGATGTAATGAGAATTAAGACAACAACAGTACTCTTCTTTCTCTTTTACAGTTTTGTTTGACCATGTAAAACTATGATTTTGTGAGAAACAATTTGAAACAAGACTCTTCTTTTAGGACAGAGGGAAGAGTACCTCAGAATGAAGGTTGATGTGTCAATTTGTTTCACTTCATCCATTTAAGAATAACGAAAACACTATCCATGCACCACTTTAATTATCAAACTATTGAGCCAGGAGTGTTGTGATGGAAAATCTGAATATTAGACTGATAAGTGAAATAAGAGCAATACCAAATGGGTATTAACTTCTCATGTGCAGCCAGAGACAAAGGGTGTTGCTGTTGACTACCAGCATTCAGTGAGGACTAGCATTCTGTGGGACAAATTAAAAAATCATTTCAGAAAAAACTAAAAACATACTTTTTGAGACAGAATGGGGATTAACTATAGTATGGTCGATTTTGAGGACATAAAATGACTAGTAGCGAATAATTGGGGTTTAAAATCACAACTTGTAGGCATTCAAGTCAGTTAGCTAAGATATGGTTTATAGTACATGACTTTACAATTAAGTAGTATCAGTTATCACCAGTATTCTGATCGGTTCATTTGTGATACAGTTTTTCTTATTTTATTTTCAAACATTGGCTTAAAAACTATAATGAAAAGGGCAGGAAAGCTGCAGCGGGGAAGAATAGATAATTTAAGAATAAGCCTAACAGCTCAATCAATCTCTTATGAAGGAAATGTATAAAACACAAAACCGAAGAATAGATATATCGAAGCGAATAATTCTCAGAAACATGGAAAATAAAGAGCTAGCAAAAGATTTGTAGCTCTTCAGTTTAACATTTTGACCATGATCTAAAAAAGAATCATTTACAATTAAAGCACAAATCAATTGTGTAGTTAAAATAATGGAAAGTACCGTTTGAGAATGTTATCGGGGAAGGGGTGCAGCAGCGTAGAATGAAGATCAAGGCCTGGATTGGATGTGGAAGCACGGTGAATTCTCGGATAGAAAGCTGGAGACCTGTGAGGCTGTGATGTGGGTGAGAAAAGCCAGCGGCAACTGCAGTACACAGAGAAGGGGTCTGGACGAATGAGATTGCAAATTTCTAGCTTCTGCAAAACTGCAAAATCGAATAAACGTATTAGACGGGTGCAAATATGAGCTCGGACCGGCCCGCGAAAAATGGGTGTCATTAATTACCCGGACGGGAAAGCAGAATCGTGATTGGCTGTACTTTTCAAATTTTTTTAAGAGATTATTAGAAAAGTGATTTATAGTAAAAGTAGGTAATGTTTGTGAATAAAAGTGATTATTGTTAAAAAGTTAAAGTTGAAGTGTTTGATGAAAAAAGTGATTTTTGATGTATTAGTTTGTTAAAGTACAACTATAACCTTCATGTTAAATGTGAATATACAAAGACCGTGCTTACACCTTTGCAATCCCCGTGAACACCTATTTCTATTCCATGGATATTTGCATATTACTTCTATATACGAAGTATATATGTATTGGAAGGTCAATCGGATACTGGATACATGAATTTGGGATTTGGGTCTCTTAAAAAAATTGGGATTTGGGAAGCTTGAGAACGCACAAAGCAGGAAAAAAAAGTAGAAAAAGCCAGGGGCTCGGATCTCCGAAAAAACCAGGAGCTCGAATCCGGGGCCGCACTGAAGAAGGTCAGCAGCCAGGAAGCTCTCATCTATCACTATCTTCACTCCATGGAGGTTGTTACCAGCTCAGTATATATATATTGCTGCAATTTGTCATTCATCTGTTAGTTTTTGTTGCTTTCTGCAAAACAGGGTATTAGAAATCTCTAATTCCGGTAGGTGAGGAGAAGAGACGGCCTCCGTGGAGTGGGTGATGAACGGTTGCAACAAGTAGGGAAGCGGGGATAGTTATTTCAGGATTATTTTGGGGGTTAGGGGATTTATTTGCAACTTTACCTAGAAGCTATTAGAAGTTGGGGTACTCTAGCTTTTAGATTTTGGCTTTAAAGCACTTTTTAAGCCAAAGTTGGGTTTAGCAAACACTTATTTTGTCTTTTTTTAATCTAAAAGCTCCAAAGTGCTTTTTTAAGCAAACAAAAACACTCCTGAAGTATATATTTTACGGAACAATAGTTTACCGGTAATTCCAATCCGGACCTATTTTTTCCGGTTAATACCGGTCCGGTTCAGGTCTAAAATACGGACCGATCCGATTAATGCACAACCCTTGGTGTCATCACATATTCACATGTTCATACAATCATACCCGCTCGGAAGAACAGACCCTTAAATATTACACTTTCTAACACTTTTAAAATATATAATATTACAATATTTTTAAAAATTGTTAATATGTTTATAATGTATACACTATACAGGTCTTTCACCACTTGAACAAAAAACATTCAAAAAAAATATTAAAATTTGTTTATAATGAAAACTATAAATCATACTTAAAATTTCAGCACAAAATATTGTCCTTGAGTATAAAAATGGATATTAACTCTGTATATTGGTTGATGAACTAGTTGTTAACAGCCAAACACTTATTTAAACATAATGAACTATGAAGTAATGATCTTGTCTATCTGAATGGACAACGACCTTTTGTTTGGCCTCTGCTATTTGGGACAGTTGCTGGTGAATTTTTTTTGATGATTTTTTTGAACACGCGCTTCATGATGTGTAAATTATGTCCACCAAATTTCAGAAATTTAATTCGGAAGTCAGTTAAATAAATCATTGAAAAACAACTGCGCCAAACCATATATATAAAAGCGTAGTTTTTTTTCAATAGTTTATTTAACTAACTTCCTAATTGAATTAAAAAAAAACTTCCTAATTTTAAACTGGAATTTTGTGGACATAATCTACACTTCATGAAGAACATGCACAAGAAATTTCATCAAAAGATTATATCGACAACCGCCTCAAACGGTGACAACCGGACGGAAGATCCTATTCGGACGACTAGAAAAGATCTTTTTCCATAAACTACAAATATATAAATATAGGGTCTGATTCTGGTGAGAACACTCTTTGACGTGAAAAATGAAACGCTCCAAAATGATGCACGTTAGGTTCACGAAAATGCACATTTAGTCATGCAAAGTTCAAATGTGTTTAAACTTTTGCACATTTGAAATGCACATGTTCCAAATTTTGATATGTGCAATTTTGTTTTACATGATGCATGACAATCAAATAATCCAAAATTCCAGACTCATTCTCATTTCTCTCCTAAGATGATATCTCATATGATCTTCTCTCTCTCTCTCTCTCTATATATATATATATAATGATGGATTAATAAATGGAAATATACATGCGCAAATAAATAACTAATTAAAAATTGTATGGTTGAAATTTGTGCAAATGAGAGAGAAACTAGTTTAACCACATATTCATTACTTTAATAAAAAAATGATAAATCTTTTTTAAACAACTAAAGGGGGGAAATTGGCACAATTCTATTGGAGGGAGAGAGTATAAAATAATATGTTCTTTGGGATAGTTCGAAACAGTTCGGATCGATATGGTTCTGGTATGGTTCTAGTGAAAACTGATACCTTACCATATTGTATAAGAAAATCAGTCTGGTACGGTACTGTGTTTATTCACTTTTTTTCGATTCTAGTATGGATCATAACAATTCTTTGGTGCGGAATAGGAAATGTCATATCCGTGCACAGACCTATGGCCCGCAACCCACTCAGGTTGAACTGAGAAAGCTGCGAGAAGATAAAATTAGGGGTGGGCAAATAGGTCTTGAACCTGTGATTGAGCCGATTACGATTCAAGTCCAAAACGGGCGGGTTCCTATTTTTCACTATAAAGTTGGCCGGGTAGGGTATTGATTTTCTTAGGTTGAGATTGGTTCCGAAATCTAAAAGTACTGGATACCCGACCTGACCTGTTTGTATTATAATTGCATCTTAATTTATTTAATAGTTCTGGACTTCTAGCTTTCTCGGCCTCATAGCTATTAAACCATTTAACTTTTATCCTACTATGTGAAAAATTCAGAACCCGTACATACACGTTAGACTTGCTCAAAATAAAAATAGCTAACTCACCTAACGTGCCCGCACAAATGATTGGACTTGGGCATATATATACTTCCTCCGTTTCACAATCAAAGTCACGGTTTGACTTCTTTAGGATTAAGAAAATAAATTGACTTTATTGTAGAGACACTATTTAGACATTGTTTGGCACTATTTGACACTGTTTGGCACTGTTTGACACTGTTTTGATGTAGATTTCTTTGCCAAATAAGGAAATAAGGAAAGTGTGACTTTGTTTTTGAAACATCTAAAAAGGAAAGTGTGACTTTGATTGCGAAACGGAGGGAGTTATCTATCCACCGCTCGGCCCAGCCCCTAATAGCATATAGGCGGGTATGAGTAGGGATGGCAATGGGGCGGGTTTGGGGCGGGGGTACACTCCCCCATCCCCCGCCCCATGTCTAAAAAGTTCCCCCCATCCCCGCCCCATCCCCGTTACTCCCAAACCCGCCCCATCCCCACCCCACCCTGTTGTGCCCCACGGGTGCCCACGGGTGCCCCCATATAGATTTAATTTATCGTATTTGCATATACTTTTAATCTCTTATTATAAATATATGTAGTGTGGTTCCAATGAGAACCAAGTTTAATGTGGAAGCACGCACATTTAATCCACTGTGAAACAAAATAGAGCCATTCTAGTGCACATTTGGACTTCGCTCAATACAAACTAATATAAATAATAACGGTGGCACTTTTGTAAATATTATGCTAGATACGAAAAAGTGCATTGTGCGAGCCCATTGTGATTCACTTTGGGGATAAATGTGGCGCTCGCACGTTTTCACGTTAAGCGTTGTTCTCATTTGATCCTAAACATATATACATCTATGCGCGCACAGTAATATATGATACACACACGCAACATTGAAGTATTGTGTTTGTTTAAAGTTAATATCGTCAATTTTAATAATTCTTCCTTTTGAATAAGTTTTGTGAATTGAAGATAATTAAAGTATAAATATATTATCATCATGTACGTTGTTTCAAAACTTTCAACAACTATTATACAATTAATTGCATATTATATTACATATAAATGTGTGTGTATTTATTGACTCATTATCTCACTCTTAAAACTCGTGTAACATTTATGATAAATAGTTTCAATCATTACTAGTTTATTATTATTCTAGTATAATACTCCGTATGTACTACCTCCGTTCTCTTTTAGTTGCAACATTGGACTTTTTGCACTATTCACATGTTCTACTTTGACTACATTTTATTAATTGATGTATTATAAATTAAATTTTTAAAAAATATTGTTAAATTCTTCTCATTCTAAAATTTCAAAATATGAATTTTTTAAGTTTTTTACTAATAAGGAATGAAAAATATTAATGGTCAAACTTGTGCGTTGGCAAACGTGAAATGTTGACTGTTGCAATTAAAAAGGAATGGAGGAAGTATTAATCATTAACCATGATTAAACCTTATACAATTATGTATGTCTATATGTATATGTGTTTGTTATACACTACATATAATTTAATTTAATATGTGTGTACATTATTTATATATGTGTATATTTATACGTTTGTTAATATGTGTTTACATTATTTATATATGTGTATATTTATACGTTTGTTAATATGTGTTTACATTATTTATATATGTGACTATATTTATAATGGGGACGGGGCGGGGATGGGGCGGGTGTAGCAATACCCGTCCCCCGTCCCATATTTTAACGGCGTAAAAATATCTCACCCATCCTCATCCCCACCCCGCCCCAAGCCCCGCCCCATCCTTCCCCCGCGGGGCGGTTCCCCACCGGCCCCGCCCCCATTGCCATCCTTAGGTATGAGTTAGGGTGTAGGCCCTCTTAGGCCAATAAGTCAGGCCCGCACTTTTAGTATATACTACATTCATTCATTGAAACAATTTAACTTTCACATTTGCGAACACACAACTTTAATTTTAATTATCTTTAATGGCATATTAGTAAACATTATAAAAAATCTATTGTAAATTCACATTAATAGAAATTTTATAAAATTTTATAAATAATAATTTGATTATACTCCATGTCTCCATGTTTATATTAGTAGAAAAGTATTGTCAAAATAAGATGTGCGAATAATGCAAAAATTACAATGTTGCAACTATTATGATGTTTTTACTTGAATTGTTTTTAGTCCTAGAAAAGTCTAAATTAGTTATAAAATACACAGAGTCCAGAAATTTATCAGACCAGACCAGTTCATACCAAACCAGACGAGACCAGAAATCCATCTACATACATACTCCTTCCGTCCCTCAATACTTTGTCATGTTTGACCAGCACGAGAAATAATAACGTAAAAACAGTGTGATTGATATATGTGCAGAGAAGAGAGAAATAATAGGAACCACAAACTCATAGATTAAAAGGGAAAGTGACAAAGTTTTTGAGACATCCAAAAAAAAGATGACAAAGTTATAAGGGACGGTGTGAGTATTATAAAAAGGTAACAACTCCGGTACCCATTTAAAAAAATGGGGTACCATACTTACCACTCACATGATTGGTCCAAATCATTAAATCATTTTTAATTTAGATTTAAATAATTCAACTGCAAAATTCTGATTTGTCCAAGTGGACAAATGTATGATACCTTTTGGGAACGATAGAATCTGCCTTATAAAAAACCTCATCTTAACCCACCTACCCAAAACCCATCTAAAGTTCTAAACGCACCTACCCAAAACCCATTTACGAGAGGTTGTAATGTTATACACCCATCACAACTTCACAAGCCATAAAAAAGACAGAAAAATACGCAATAGACCGTTATGGTAGGAGGTCTTATTGGTGGCAATATATTCAAGATGGCAATAGAGTAATTTGCCTAAAACTGAAAAACCTGAAGGGTGGTGGAGCCGAGATGGGCAAACGTCTTCTTCCCAAAAACTGTCGGTGCTCTGCCCTTTTCATCTCCCAATAGAAACCTGGGTTTCGCAAATCCTCACAGAATTCATATGGTTTTTTTTTTCTCCATTGTTGAACAAGGTTTACGTCTATTTCATGCCTCCCTTGAACCTTTACATTTCATTTCATAAAAAAAAGAGAGAAAGAAAGTAGAAAAAGAAAGGTTTTTTTATAAGGTTTTCATCATTTTTGTTGGGCTTATTTGTTGTTTTGGGCCTTTTGGCTAATGCAGGGAGATAAACGATGGGGAGGAGGACAAGGCCGAAAGGGAGATGCTGTGGGTGGTTTCTGGCCGGAATAGTTGCGGCGGCGATCGGCGTAGCTATTTATGTGCTTATTCTGAAACACAAAGCTGAAGAGCCTCCGGGAGTCACTAACCAGAAATACGCTAATGCCCTCAAAGTTGCTTTGCAATTCTTCGACGTCCAGAAGGGTGGGTGGGTATAATTGTCATTCCATTATAATAATGCATGAGCAGTACTACGTATTTTTAATTTATTTGTGAGATGTGAAACAGCTCCACATTAAAAATGCTTCATATAAAAAACATTTACTATAAACAGGACCATGTGATTAATTGATTTTATTAACCCCGCTGTGCTCAAACAATCTAATAAGCATTATATTGGGCAGTTTAAAGGATTCCAGGGTAATAATTGAACTACTTTATCATTATACATCTGTTTGGATATCAGAAAATCTTAGGAGTCAGGGAAAGCAGATAATTTACTCTGGAGTCTGGACTTACATGGCCGTTCCTTATTTTTGGAGTTATCTATAGAAGAAAAAAAAAGATACTCTAGGGATGTTTGTGTATTGGTGTTTCAACCCAAAATGCTATAATTTTTCAATATGAAACGCTGAAAAAGTGCAACTTTTGGCACTCAAAACACCGAATTACAGATAGAGCTTATGCCTAAAAATATTCTATATTCTCTGGTATTTTCACATTCAAAAAGTAAGTAAAGTTGAAATGACAAAATAAAATTGTAAACCTAAGTAAAAAGAATGTTGAACTATGAATGTTACGTAGTATTATGTGTGAAAATACCTAATAGGAGTACTAGATATGGCTCGTCTTCCTCTTAAATTGACCTTGCATATTTTTCAAGATGAAACCCATGTTATTAGATCCAAACACTCGTACTTTTTAGGGGGTGTTTGGATCCGAAAGTTGAGTGTTTTGAAAGCTGGATGCTCTAATTTACTCTAGAATCCGTTTGTTTAGAACACGGATTCTGTTCTGCTTTAAAATACCCTTATAACATTTGAGGTATGAAATTTACTTGCAGCTGGGAAGCTGGACGAAAACAAAATACGTTGGAGGGGAGATTCGGCGCTCAAAGATGGAAGCGAAGCGAAGCTGGATTTGAGCAAAGGAATGTACGATGCAGGAGACCTCATTAAGTTTGGTTTCCCGATGGCTTACACTGCAACTGTGCTGTCATGGGCGATCCTCGAGTATGGCGACCGTATGGCTGTCGTCGACCAGCTTGAACCTGCCCGTGACTCGCTCAAATGGATAACTGACTTCTTGGTCAATGCACATCCCTCTCCTAATGTCTTGTACATTCAGGTTCCACTTTTATCCTTTCTTATTCTTCTTGTTGTTGTCACTCCTTAAATTGCCAATTGTGCATGTAGGACATTAGGAGGAATATAATGTTTGAAATATTTACAGAGTAATTCTTTGTAATGGAGATACTTTTCATAGGTTTTCAGTTCGAAATTTCCTATGGCTTTCTAGCTGACTAGTGACGGAATTTATGATCTTTGTGATAACGTAGCAGTAATTGTGAAATGTAAATACTACGTACAAAATATCTGCCTGTCCCTAGCTTGAATGCGAGAATTAGTAGCAATGTGTTTCCTCAATCTGTATATCCTTTGGAATTTCCTATGGATGTATGAATGCATCCTTTGGAAAGCCAGGCAGGATTTAAAAGCTCTGCTTGCAAACTTTGTGATTATTATTTCCGGCTAGCCTATTCCTTTGGATTATATCCGTTAGAAAGCCACCTGAAATCACATCCTTGACATCAAAGTAGTTGGCATCCATCGGAATTTCAAGTTCTTATGCACTTATTAGCCCCTGGCTTCCTCATTTTTAGCTTAGAGTTATCAGATGTTGGTCAACTTTATTAATTAAACTTGCCACACTCTAAAAAGGATCTGAAGTTTACCTCACATTTTGTATCAAAACTTTTATGCATCCCTGTGACTCCATTATGGACTTTATATATTGTATATATAATATATCCTACATTGTATATGATTTTCATAGTATAGCGGAGGACCCCTATGAAATCGACTAAGTGAGTGGCTATACTGAGACCACATGGCTCATATGACTATAACAGAGTGGTATAGGGTTCCATAAAATTTCCACTCTCTTTTTCTTAAATGTTAGAATTAAATCTCTTGAACAACGAGACAGTTAAAAGACATTTCATTACTAACATGATTCTGGTACTATTTGCCTCATTGGAAGGTTGGGGATGCAGAACATGACCATAGTTGTTGGGAAAGACCAGAAGACATAAATAATGATAGGCCATTGATCCAAGTGAATGCTTCTGTTCCCGGAACAGATGTTGCTGCTGAAACCGCAGCAGCTATGGCAGCGGCATCCCTTGTTTTTAAATCCACCGACGCTGATTATTCAACCTTGCTTTTGAAACACGCCAAACAGTTGTTCACCTTTGCTGACAAATATCGAGGATCCTACAGTGAAAATATCCCCGGAGTAGCCACATATTACAATTCGACCGGGTATGGGGATGAGCTCTTATGGGCAGCGAGTTGGCTCCATCACGCAACGGGTGATAGGTCATATTATGAGTATGCAACTGGGGAGAATGCGGAGAAGTTTGTGAAATGGGGAAGTCCGACTTGGTTTAGCTGGGATGATAAGTTTCCTGGAGCTCAGGTAATTCATTTATTTCTATGTTTTAGTTTGGTTCTTTATGGTTCTGTTGTCCATACAATACTAAAGAGTGATACAAGTGTGTTTTTATAAGGCTTGATTTTGACACAATAAGGATGTTTTTAACCAACCAGACTTTAACAAACCGGATCAGACCAGACCGGACCAAACCATATCAAACCAGACCACACTAGACTTGGACAAATTGTAAAATACCAATAGAACAAACATCTGTAAGACCAATTCAAATCAGACCAGTCTAAACTGAAACAAACCATATTAGATAAAAAAAATCCAATCCAATTAAAAACAACCTAATTTATCGGATTAGTTGTTTAGTGTGACTGATTTAGTTACAACTTACAATTATAAGACAGTTGAGCGATCAGCCGATCACATCCATATTTTGATACCTATTAGGTTGAGTAGTGGTTTAGGTAGCGCCAAACAATTTCACTCTGGCTAAGTATAAAGATACAAACTCACATATAAGTTGTTCCTTATATCAGCCTATCAGGTTTGGATTTTTTAAAATAAATTGTTTTCTAATCCACCTCAAATAATTTTTTTGAATGAAAACCAAAACCAACCGAATAAAAAATCATTAAAACTGTACCAATGAACTGCTAGATACTGGTCTTATTATGTGATTCTTAATTCAACTCATAAAAGTTCATAACATTAAGAAATGATAAAAATTAAACAACTGAATTTACTTATGTTATTTCACATGGTCAAACCGTACAAACTTAGTAAAAGCTGAATCCAGTATTTAAAACAGTCTAACCTATGTTATTAAAAATCATGGGTCTGTTGAACAATTTAATGTGGGCAGTTATTTCATTAAAATGAGAATACAGCAAGTTACGGGTTGTTATTGCAGGTTTTGATTTCCAGGGTGAGTTTCTTTAAGAAAAAAGCCCCCCTCTCGAATTCGATTACTCTCCAGAAGTATAGAGGCACTGCAGAAGCAGTCATGTGTGGTCTCTTACCAACATCTCCAACCGCCACTTCTAGCAGAACAGACTGTAAGAAAACACACTCTTATTAATCATGTGGAGCATCCACCTCTATCACCATGCTTCATTCCTAGATTCTAATTCGAATTAATAATGTCCATATTGTTGTGGTTGCAGCTGGTTTGATATGGGTAAGTCAATGGAATGCTTTGCAACATCCTGTCGCCTCTGCCTTCTTAGCAGTCGTTTATAGTGATTACATGCGTTCTTCTCACACTGCTAAGCTATTATGTGATGGCAAATATTTTTCATCATCTGATCTCCGAAAGTTTGCCATGTCACAGGTGAGACTTCTATGTGTAATCTCCAACACACGCATCACATTTCCCTTTGAATGCCTTTTTTTCCTTGGAACTCATTACATCAGATACAAACCAACATAAACGAGATCGGCTACGCATGAAATAACAAACCAACATAAACGACATTTGACTAGATGTTCAGACGAAATGTCAGGTTGTATAGGTTTGTGCCATTATGAAAAACTGTGGGCTTCTATGATGACTTTTTATCAGTCCATACGGGCTTCTTTGATGACTTTTTTGTCAGTCCGTAAGAAGGGTTGTGTAGTGTAAGAGTGTGAAGACTTATTAAAAAAACTGCACAATCTAGATGAGTGATCTATATGATGTAGCATGAAAGGGTGTTAAGTGATTTGTCCATTGTTTGGTACTGCTCTGGAAATGCAAAAGAAAGTAAACAGGATTATTGTGTTGATTTTAGGGGGTTTTCTCTCTAATAAAATAGTACTCATTAAAAAACGTGACCATTTTTTAAGTATTCTAAAAAAAACTAAATAAGTCACTTTTAGTGACTATACCGTTTTTGGTGAAGCCCGTTAGTGCCAGTGACACTGCCCACATGTCAAAGTAATTTTATTTTCTTTGTGTCACTTTTAGAAGTTATGTTTTGGTTATTCTTTTCGTAATTTCTTTTACATATAGTTAAATTTCTTATTAATTTAATGATCGAAATGAATTCAAGTGTTAATAAAATCTAAGCAAATAATATTTTCTTTGAGTGTGAACCAATGTGTATTTTACTATCATTTTCTTTTTATCCAAATGTGTTCTATGATTTTCTTCTTATTTTCTTGAGAAAACTGTCAAGTAGGTCCTCGAACTTTCATAAAAAGGTCAATTAAGTTCTTCTATAGGAGACTCTGTCCAGTCCTCGCGATTTGGGGCGGCTCCTGATTGATTTTTTTGATGAAATTTTTTTAGCATCTTATTCATCAAGTCTAGTTTACTCATACCAAATTTCAGGTAAAAATTTAATCGGGAGCGCATTAAAATTAATTTGAGAACGCAAAAATGCGCAGTTATCTTCAAGAATTAATTTGAATGTGTTCCCGATTGAATTTTTAGCTGAAATTTCGTATGCGTAAACTAGACTTGGTGAATAAGATGCTCAAAAAATTTCATCAAAAAATTCCACCGGGAACTGCCCCAAATCGCGACGGCCGGACATAACCTCTTATAGAAGGACTTAATTGACCTTTTTATGAAAGTTCGAGGACCTATTTGACAGTTTTCCCTATTTTCTTTCCCTTACATTTTCCAAGTTCCAAGCTGCGCTTAAGTATTTTAAACTTTTATCACAATTTATTACTTTGCATATAGGCTGACTATGTATTGGGAGATAATCCTATGGGGATGAGCTACCTTGTTGGGTATGGAGATAAGTACCCGAAATATGTTCATCACAGAGGAGCCTCGATCCCTGCAGATAAGAAAACCGGTTGCAAAGAAGGCTTCAAATGGCTTGAATCACCCAAACCAAACCCGAATGTCGCAATTGGAGCATTAGTCGGTGGACCATTTCTAAACGAGAGCTATGTTGATGCAAGGAATAACTCTATGCAAGGAGAACCAACCACCTATAATAGTGCACTCCTTGTTGGTCTCCTTTCTGGTTTAGTTACCACCTCTCCAGTGGTCCCATCCTTTGTATGAGGCAGGTGGTTCCTAGCTAATACATAACTTTATACATGTACATAAACCCAACATTATACATCTTTATGTATACATATACACACACGTAGTGTATGTACAGAGTATATCCTAAAATTCCTAGGTTCTTGAATGTTGTAAAATGTATGTACACAGAATAATGGTTGTGTACTTATTATACTGAATATGGGGTGGCGGACTGGCGGATGGCAAACCTTTTGTAAGAGGTACGCAGATGGACGCTCGTCAAGTCGAATCCGATTCCCGTCTGGTTAGCTCAGGTGTCCAGATTGAAAAACTTTAAATGGAGCTGGAATGCTGGCCTGGCCCGGTTACTGTTTGGCCTGGCCCGGGTGATGGGCGGTCCGGGCTCGGGCCCTGCTTTAGGTGAACCGGCCCGGCCGGTTCGGGCCCGGTCCGGGCCGGATTTTAATTTATTTTTTTTTGAAATTTTTTTAAGTTTTGGGTTGGATTAGGTATTTTGGGCCATTTGAGGTGGTTTGAGGTTGAGGCCTTGAGGGGGAGGGGTAGGGGGTTAAATAGGAGAACCAAAATAATAAAAAAAAATATGGACCGGTTTGGCTCGGCCCGGTCCGGCCCGGTTTGGCCCGGAACCGGAACCGGCCACCGGCGGTTCGGGCTCGGGCCCTAGTTTTCTGGCCCGAGGCCCGGCCGGGCCCAGGCCCAAACCGGGCCCGAACCGACCCGAGTCCACCCCTGTCATCGGACTAGGACAGGGATGAGTAGTGCCTATGAATAAAAAATGCAATTTTGTAACTTATACTACGTATTGAATACTACCTCCGTTCCACTATGTTTGGGACAATTTGGTTTACGATGTGTGATTGACGATAAAGCAAATAGATCACTGTCTGCACTTAAATTATTTTTAGAAAACAAAAATTACATATTCAGAAACTACATTAAAAAATTTACAAAATCACAAAAACCAAAATCAAATTTGATAAAAATTTGATATATAAAATAAGAGATTAAGAGTGATTTGTGTTGACCAAGTGAATAGTGTCTGGAACAATCTTAGCGGGACGGAGGCAGTATATATTTATATAATTATATAGTATGAATAATTTGAACCAACCAATTACCAAAATAATAAATATATAACGTGGGATGTAACATATTTACATATCTAATCTGACAAGTGACAACCCTGTATGGCTGTATGCCTGTATACCATAATTTTTCCCCAATTTAACTCAACAAACACATACGAATACAGGTAAAAGTTAGTGAATCAAGCCAAAATGGAAATATATAAACTCGTGTGGGAAAATATATAGCTACAAGATGAATAAATGTCGAATAATTGAAAATGCTGTTAAGCTTAAAGCTAGTTAGCTAGTGCCCTATTACATATATACATACATACTCGAATGCGCGATTCCACCCCTAACTGTACAATATGTATGTAATTATAAAAGATTAATCAATTAGCTAGATCATTCAATAATTAATAGTAATAATAAAAGTAGTAACTAATAATAATTGATATATGAGGTCTCTCGATCAACGAGCAATTTCGGATTTGGCCGTTGCGAAACCCAATTGTTGCTCCATCTCCCATTTTAACTTTGGTGCTGCCTCATTGTGCTTTGGAACATAATCCTACATATATACACACAAACATCATGCCTTAATTACTCATTAGATTTTTATTATGATAATAAAATATGAGTTTCGTCCAACCACTAATGGACTAAATAAATTTTGTGCCAATACTTCCTACTATTACCAACAAAACTAAGACGATAGAAAGTGTGATTTATTTATAAAAATGACATTGATTCTCCTCATTCATTATAGTGCACATTTTAATATGAAATTTTGTACCATTCTCAAATTTGAAAGCGCACAATATTTGAAAATTGTTGTCATACATGTCCATGTCATCAATATATGATCGTATTCTACATTAATCATATACGCATGGAGTATGGATATTCTTACTTGGACTGTTTATTAGTCTCAAACCAGACCAAACCAGACTTAAACAGATCAAACCAGATCAGATCACACTTAAACAGATAAGACCAAACCAGACCAGACATAGACAAGACATAAACAGACTAGACCAGACATGAGTTCCGTAGTTATAAAATACACAGAGATCACCAGACGTTTATCAGACCAGTTTAGACCAAACCAGCCGAACTTAAACAGACCAAACGAGTAAATTATAGTTTAATGTAAAAACATCATATATAATAGAGGGGTGCATCTAACAAACAATTTAGTTCTTGTCCAAGAATGCATGTGACTTACATACTACTGTACCACACACATGTTATTGCTATTGAATTACTTTCTACACGAAAATAGTGACTACTTGTGTCCAATTAAACACGTTCTTAATTTGATCTTGAATAGTACACGTTTAAGTACATAGATAGTATTAGATATACGTTCATAAATGGCCGTTTTAGTGTAGGTAAACATTATGAAGTACTTTGGATTGTACTACGTACTATTTTAACCTTGCATGATTGATAATATATACAGAGTGATTTATATAATCTCATATCCCTTACCAAATACTACATTCATCCTAAAAAGGTTTGTCATATTGACTTTTCTTGGTTGATGACAAATTTTGGCCAATTATTTTATAAATTATATTTGTATATAATTTATAAATTTTATACTTTTATGAAAATATTTTTAATAAGAAACATATTAATATAGTTTTCATATTCAAAATAATTTCGTGTTAAAAAGTATCATTGTTCAAAATTGACTATCATTAACAAAGAAAAGTCAATTTGGCGAACATGTGCAGGACGAAGGGAGTACTACAAACAGTACATTTATAAATAAATACTACTTATTTTATTTAGGGACTTCTCAAAACACTGAAACTTTAGATAAGTATGAAGATAATAATCTATTTGTAATACAGATTTATATTTATTTCACATACAAAATTATTTCAATTAATTAATGACTCCTGCAATTAAGTTAGAATCGAAGCTAGCTAGTCATCTTACTGGAAATGAGTATAATTTGGGGGATAGGAGGGGAAATGTGTACAAATTAAACAGGTATAAGACTTGAGGATTATTAACAAAATAATATCATCAGCTAGGTAAATGAAAATATAATTTAAAAACAATTCTCACAATGCAAGCTGCATGTGGATAAAAATTCCCTTATGGACATTGCCATCTTGGAATCTAATTTAATTTATGAATGTGGATATCTGATCTCTATTATTACTCCATCGCTTTCTTATAATGTTGATATCTTTCTTGGTTATTATTCCAAAAAACGTTACTACTTTCTCTATTAAGACTTTATTTCCAACCTTATTTTATGGTTCAGATGGTCAAACATGACAAAGTTAGGGAAAAACACAATATGAGTCTACATATATGCGTGGACTAGGAACGTACCTCAAGTTTGGACAAAAGTTCTTGGGCAGTTTGGGCAGACACAATAATGTGACGGGCACAAGGGGCGATGAATCCTTCGTCGACAGCTTTGTCTATGAAAGACAGAAGTGAATTATAGTACCCATCTACGTTCAGCAGACCTACCTGTAGTAATGTAAATACATCCATGCATCATACATAATGCATGTAAAATGTCAGGACATGCATGCATGTATATAGGTGCATGATATTTTGTCTTGAATAAATAATGTTATAAATAAGAGAAAATTTCTTAATTAAATAGGATTTGAATATACATAAAGTATAATACACATATGATGGATATTATGTTCTTTTCTGAAAACAGGACTTATTAACTACCTCTCCGTCTTGTTGAAAGGTTTCTACTTTCCTTATTTGGGTGTCTCATTCAAACGTTTCCATTCCATTTTAAAAAATAATTATTCTCTTTAATTACACATTTATTCAAAGTTATAATTTCTACTCATTACATGTGAAGTCTCACAATGTCTCCTCCCCCAATTTATCTCCCTTTAATTGCTTTCACTTTATATGTTTATTTTTTCTAAATTTTGTCTTTCCCCCTTTTTTATTACTAAAATTACTTTATTTAACTATTTGTCCAAAAAACCGTGTCAATTACTCACGGCAACCTTCCAATGAGACGGAGGGAGTATTAGGTAGATGAGAAATTTTGTGCTTTTAATAAAAATAAATAGTCATGTTTTGGGAATAGAAAACAATATAATTATCCCATTTATATTTTTTGTATATATTTTGCTCATATTTGGAGCAATTTCTTTATAAACAATGCATTAAATGAATGCATCATAAGAGCTTAGTAAACTAATTACTCTATAAATGAATAATATTCACTATAAAGAAGACAACGAATTTGACACGGATTTGATACGGATCCTTGACATAGATTTGCCAAAATTTATAAGAAATTTGACACATTTGACACGGTTACATCAAATTTGTTCTGAATTCCCTGTTGTCACCAACTATTTGGAACAACGTCGTCGTGCCAAAAATATGTATAATCCGTACCAAAAATATGTTAAACTCAATCAATCTGTACTAATTCAAGTTCGTGCCAATATTTTTCGTAGTGATTCTAGGGGTTTAATTACATTATTACACCATTTAACATTGGATTGGGATGGGTTTAAACTGTAAAGTGCGTAATTTGAAGTACTTATTACCGGTTTGTCGTGAATACCAAGCTGAGCCCAAGTGATGACTTCTAGAAGCTCCTCCAACGTTCCGTAACCCCCTGCATAATATGCAACAATTTATTTAATTTTTTTTGAAGCATTTATTTAATTATTATTATGCAGTTAGTTAATGATTAACGAACGCCGGATTAGGGATTAAGGACGATGAGCTGTTTCCCAATATATATATGTATACATATATACATATTATATATACTACGTATAACAAATTAATAAGATACGAGGTATATACTAGATAAATCAGATTAGAAATTTAGAAAGATAGCGACTTGGAACATATACCGTAACGTTTTATATGAACATTATATATTGTTAGTTGTTGACGGTACGATTTCCACTAATTACGTATTTAGATGTGCTGGCCAGGCTTCTCATCGCGAAACTGATTGATATTGACCTCAATAATAACAACAAAAAAGTCACGGCAATTATAAATGCATCCATAAAAAGAACTTTTAATTAATAAGTAGGGAATAGTAATTAATTACTTAATTAATTACTACATAAAATTTCATAATGAATAATTTTTAAAAAAAGTGACACCCATATTGGATAATTTGAACTAACAAAATGGGTTTTGTATGAATACAACTACTTAATAATACTCTCTACTAGTAATATAATGATAATGATATACATATACATATGGAGTCATTTTAATGAATGAATATGTATTATATTACCACATATCACTTTAATATTATTATTGCATGTTGTTGTGGTTGTGGTCAATTGTGTGTTGTGGATCGTGTTCTTAAGATTAATATTTACTACTCCGATCCGTATTATTATTTGCATAAGAGTTAAAAAAAGTTTTATAGTCGTTATTTTAGTTGAAATAATGGAAAAGAACGATACTAAGGAAACCGAAAAAGAAGAAGTAGGTACCGGGCAAGGCAATAAAAGCGTCAGCTTGCTTAGCCATTTCGGCTTTCCGTTGATGCATACCGGAAACCGCTCTCACTTCCCCAACAGTCTCTCCCGTGAGCTGTTTGTACATAGACATATATAATTATAACAATTAAATAATTAATCTTAACAATAACAAAATTGGTACATCAAAAAGCAACTTATGATCGAGCAAATTAAAGTACGTACGTACATTAACAGAAAAAAGAAAAGTACTCCGTAGCAATTTACAATTCAGAGTGTGACATAATATTAATTATTAAAGTATAGTTATTATCATCAAACAAATAATGTCTATTTTAGCATCCATTTTGTAGCACTATAGAAATTGCTATAATATACTCGTAGTATTTATTGTAACAAAAAATGTGACAATAAAATGAAAAAATTACTACAATACATCTAATATTGCAGCTCCATTCGGATTTAACATTTTGCATATGCTACAAAAGTTATAGTTGGTACAACTTACTCACCATCTAGATTAATATTGTGATGTCAATTAATTCTTTCTCATTTACACATATCGATCTCAATCACACTTTACACAAGTTTGACAAAGATTTAAACGACAGAGAGTACAATTATAATTTATATAGGGATAAAATTAGCCTCCTAATAATAAAGAGAATTGAAGGCGACAAAAAGTACTTATATCATGCCGTAGGGACTATATATACATATGAGACCAAACACAAACACATCACGAGTTGGGTTCATAGAAAGATGCTTAGCTATTTACCTCTCTTGGCATCAGAGTTTTAGGAATCACCCTGAAAATCAAAATAGAAAAATAAATAAAGAAGAAAGTTTTTTTTGACAGAAAATAAAGAAGAAAGTTAGAAATTAACAAATGTTTATCAGGAACAGGGGCGGAGGTAGAGGGGTGGCCAACCGGGCCACGGCCCGCCCCAAATTTGAATTTTTTTTTGTATTTTTAATTTTTAATCTAAAAATTTATGTGAAAAAAATTATCTGAAAAATTCTTTGTACCGACCCAACCCAACCTTCTATCCTAACTATGCCCCTGATCATGAAAATACACTTACGGGAAAATATGGAAAATATAAAATAATGTTGGAATAGGATGATATATACCCTAACACGTGGCGGCCCCCATTATAAACAGCTTGGGAAATCAGACCCATTAAGCCGATGCTCCCACCTCCGTAGACCAAGTCTATGTTCCTTTCGACCTGTCATTAATTATATTGAATTGTAAGCAATTAATCAAATGAAGACCAATAGAAAAGCACAAAACACCAAATACATTTAATCAAATTGAGAAATATTATTTTAATTTATTTTTTAATTTTTAATTATCAGATCATAACTCAAACACGTAAGTCTAGATTTTAATAGACTACTAGACTTACATAATATGAAAGCACATATAAATTAATCAGATCAGATCGGATTAGAAAATCAGTGTTCACGTGAAAACATCCATAACCTTTCATAATCTTTTTTAGTTGAATGTAAATCCACTACAAAAACACGAGATTGACATCAATTTTTTCATAGAGATTTCTCAAAATTGGCAGATATTTTAGCAGAGATATGTCAAATCTTTGACAAAAAACAGTTTGGAACGAGCTATTTGACATGAAATTATCGATAAATTTGTGCCAAATCCGCCCATCCCAAATCTCAATTAAGTAAAAACCTCCCACAATGTTTTTTATTTAATTATTTATAATGGTGGTCGAACTGGACCATTCTGATACGATATTACAATAGATAAAAAATGTGAAAGACGTGGAAAATTAAACAGTGTTAGCATGGAGCACTACTGCATGGCAGTACTTGCTAGCTAGTACTCTGCATTAAATAATACGGAGTACTTCTCCGTTCCATAATAATATGCTTAATCCAAAAACCATTAAATGAAAACTATAGGGATATGCAAAAGATATTTTATTTAATTAGTTGTAAGAATTTAAGTTTTATGCTTATTATGGATGCAAGACTTTGTCATTAGTATATACGAAGTATAATTTTTTATTAGTTACAAATACATAAACTTATATTTTTTCAAAATTTATATGAAACAAATCAGACCAATTAATGGACTATGTTTTTTTTATACCGTATTACTACGAATTAATAAAATGTGGTCAATGTAAGTTATATAAATAATGCAAAGCTAAATGGTAAACAAAGAGGAATTAAGTACTTGGTACTTCATACTCCGTATATAACAAAGGCATAGAAAAATGTAAAGTGTGTGTGTGCGTGTAAGGAAATTGTTGAATTGGGCAGTCCTAATTTATGCATGTGATTTTTCATCATAAGTTATGCAAATTAAATAAAGTTAATGATTAATAATAGACTCAGGCATAAATGCATAATTGATTCGGGACGAAATAAACAAATACAATTCCATGTGTATTTATATACGGATTATATGTGTATAATGAACATGGATCAAATAAAAAACGTTTTTGACATGTGAAAAGTGCAATGCATTTAAAGTACAAATTATAAGTTTTTGCATTTATCTCCCATGCTACAACAATGTGCACGGTGCACATGTTTCATGAGAGATAACCACATAAATATTAACAACTAAATCATTTATCTCCTTATTTGAATGATTTTATACAATTTTGGTAAGTTTTTTCCCCCACAATGTCAAGAAACCGTCGAGATGTTGGCATTGCGATCGACATTACAGAGAAAAACTTATCAAAATTGTATAAAACCATTCAAATAAAGAGAAAGATAATTTATTTGTCAATATTTATGTGGTTATCTCTCATGTCACATGTGCACTATCCACCTTGTAGCAATGAAGATACTCTTATAAATTGTACAATAGCACTGTATAGGGGAATATTTCAACCTTTTCATTTGACCCAAATCCAAATAACATAAATGTATGTGTGAATATATATAGTTACCTACTTCCCATATTCTTTTTTATTTGCAACATTCTTAAATTTATAATGAGACCAATTCAACGATATATTTCAAAAAAAAAAATTCTCATAAATCAATAAATAAAATATACTCAAAATATATAGAGTACGAGAATAGTGTAAACTTTTCCAAGGTTCAGCTAAGGAGAGATGAGGATAGTATATACCAGCTGGTTGGCGAGATGAAGAGCGGCGAGATGGTAACTGGGGTTCTTGCCGGCGCTGCTGCCGCAGAAAACACAGATACGCTTGAAACGCGACGGCTTTGCGGGTAGATCAACCACCTGAGACGGCAGCCGCAGCTGGCGAAGAGAGACTGATGAAGAATTATCAAGCCCTTTTTCCATTATTCTAGCTTTTATATATATGTGATAGAAAAGGATCGAGTTTTAAGCGAACTATGAAGTTCGAGGAAGGTGCTAGCTAGCTTAATTAAGGCAAACTAAAGCTTCCCCTTTGGTTTTAGAGGATAATAAAATAGTAACTTATGAAAGAGGTGAGGCGGAAGATTGATCAATGTATTTCCATTTCACTACTTTGTGGTCTATTTAATATACTTAAAATACATCCGACCCCACGGTTGCACTTGCCCCATTGGATATAACAAATATCTTTTGTGTGAATGTTTTATTATTATTATTAGAGTAAAAACTAAAGGTACTTTCATTGAATCAAACCCGAGTTTTTTCCCAAACAGGTGTACTTTCTAATTTTATTTCCTGAAAGGAGGTACTTTTAAACTTATTTCTCAAATAGGGGTATTTTTGCCCAGTCATCCCGCCATGTCAACACCCAAATTAATTTCAATTTACACATCATTTACCCGCCACATCACCACATATACTGCGTAGTATAGAAACAACAAAAAATAGAAACTTGTGAGTATCGAACTCAGACTCGTTCATTTCCCTACCATACTCCAAACCGCTACACTACAACAAAGAGTTGGTATTTCGATTACTATTACAATTATTATTACATATAGAGCTAAACCTCAGTATAAGTAAATGAAAATGCAAAATCTACCTCCGTTCCATTTTTTCGAAACTTAACATGGGATTAACATTATTATCAATTCTCTCTATTATAAATAATTCAAATTTTAATAATTAAAATTTACATAAAATATCATTAAAATTTCTGTAAATTTGTATAATTCAAATTAAAATATAATCAAGAATTTATGTCATAATTAAATGAATATAATGAAACTGTTTGACAAAAAATCAAATTTGCAATTCAATTTGGAGCGTAAGAGTATAACTATAATAAAAATAATAATGATGATGATGATGATGATGATGATGATGATGATAATGTTATTCTTATTATTAATTGGAATAGAGGTAAGTTTATTATTATTATAACTATTGCTGCGATTTATATTAGTATTATTATTATAACTAAACGTAAATATAAGTAATGATAACTATATTGACTATAATAATAATATCTATAATAACTACTTTATAATAATAACTAATAATAATAACATTAAGAATAGTAATAATAATAATAATATGAATAAGAATAATAATACTAAAATAAAACTTATTTACATAAATATGATTATTCATTACTACAATGTAGTGTTGTGGTAACTTATTTTTTAAGTTCAAAACTTGAACATGAATTAATATATTTCATTGTTACTCTAGTAACTAGTCATATTTTTGTAAATCATCTTTATTTTGGTCATATTTATGTAATTCTTTCATAATTATAATGTTATTATTATTATTAATTGGGACGAAGGTAAAGTTTATTATTATAAATAGCAATAATAATAATAATAATGAATAATAATAATAATAATAATAATGTTATTATTATTAATTGGGACGGAGGTAAAGTTTATTATTATAATTACAATTATTATTACTGCTATTGCTATTAGTATTGTTATTATAACTAAACGTAACAAGTTAACAAAATTAATAACCTACAACAAATTGTGGCTGTGGTGTAGTGGTGAACGAAGTGGAATGTCAAAAGGGTTGGCGAGGGTTCCATTCTCACTGACGTCAAGGTTTTCGTTATTTTTATACTCTCCGTATGGTTTAGTTAGGTGATGACATGGATGTCTGATGTCGTGGGAACATAATGTGGAAATGGAATTTACCTTGGATGTTGACATGGCGTGATGAGTGTGCAAAAATACCCCTATTTGGGAAATAAGTTTAAAAGTACCCTGTTTTGGGAAATAAGATTAAAAAGTACCCCTCTTCGGGAAATAACTCAATCAAACCCATATAAGATAAGGCAATGCCTAATGGCCAGTCTTTTTATTTGGTGAATTACATTCAGTGGGACAGTCATGGACTCATGGTTTGACCTTTTTGTGTTGGTCATCAGTCATTTGATTTTCACTTTTCTCCCTACAAAAGAAATTTGTTATGTTACGATCTTCGATCTACTCAAACAAGAAAGAATGAGTACATCAATTGAATTTCGTTGATGAATTTTTAATTGAAGCGTTTGGAGGGTTTAAATCTGTTGAATTTTATAAAAAAAATAAATATTTTTTAAAATATACAGAGTATTTTATTAACAGTATTCGTCTTAAATAAGAGAAAAAACGTTTGAGAATTTCGATCCAAATAGGAGTGCTATATTTATATTCCCAAAATATGATTAAGTATTGTCTACTTGGGAAAATATGTCACTTTCAACGGTATAATGTCATGCTTAAATTACGATAATGTCAAAACATGGTAGCAAATTTTCATCAAGACATTTACGTACTTCTATTTAAGGAAGAAAAATATATCAATCCTATTTTGAAATATTCCAAACGTTTTTACTTCTATTTCAGAAATTTTCTCTTTTAGTAATCAAATGAAGAAAAAAATAGAAAAATGGTCCTCTACATAATTCAAAAAAGTAACTTCAAGCTTACTTGTTTAGATTATTACAGTTATACTATTCAATAACACTGAAATCGGATGAGAAAACCAAATCTGCTGAAATTGTTGAAAGTTGGGCTGAAGCGGCTAAATTGGTTAATTTATAGAAAATATATTTAAAGTATATACTCTCTCCGTCCCGCTAAGATTGTCTGAGACATTATTCACTTGGTCAACACAAATCACTCTTAATTTTTTACTTTATATATCAATTTTTTTTATCAAATTTAATTCTGGGTTTTGCGACTTTGTAAATCTTTTAATGCAGCTTCTGAACATGTATTTTTAAATAATTTGAGCACGGACGAGGATCTATTTTCTTTATCGCCAGTCAAGCATCGTAAACCGAATTGTCCCAAACACAGTGGGACAAAAGTAGTATTTGTTAATATATAAATTATAGAAAAATATATTTGAAATTAGCTAAAATGATAATCTAAATAACTTCAGCGGATTCAGCTAAAAAAGTAGCTCAAACCTCACTTATTTTGAATATTACACAATTCGACGCGTTAAATCAAAAGTTAAATGCATGTAATTTGATAAAAATGTTGGCCGATAAGATTGTATAGAGGTACCAAATGAGATTAACTGATAAAGCTAAATATAGGGATTATTAAAGGGACACATAATGACAATGTAAAAATAATCAATTGCTCTGATACCTATTTAATACACGAGGTTCCATCCTAAAAGGTCAACTAGATATGAGGAGTAGCACAATATCTTAATATGGTGTTTATTTTCTTAGAGATATCTGGTGGGAAAACAACATATGTTGAATGTGTGTTTTACATTTATCAATTTCTAATTCGGTCTAATCTAATCTGCTTACACCCGATTTGATCTAGACTAATTTGATTTTAATTCTCGTGGAATTATCTGGTCTAGTCTTGGACTCCTAGTCGCGCAAACATAAGCCATTTTGTTTTGTTATTGACTTACTGTAATAATAGAAAAGGAGACAAATTTAATTCCTCTATTATTTATCAGTTCCTATATCCTACACCTGGGTGTATCTGTACACCCGGCTTTTTTGTAATTAGAAGCATGAATAGCGTTTCTTTTTTCAGCCGCATGCCATGCTCCACTCCTGCCCTCCGCGCTCCTTGCTTTCTTTTTAACGATTTGTTAGTTACGTACATACATTCTTCTTTCTTTTCTTTTTTTTGTTTATTCTCATTTTTTTGTTTTTGTTTGTTTGTTCTTCTTTTTTAGCAATCTTCTATTTTAATGTTATATTCATTTATTATGAAAATGTATCATATAAAATATTATTAAATGTTTCAGTTTATTTTATTTTATTTCTTTCTCCAATCAAATTTCATGCTTAAGTTTTTTTATTTATCTATTATCAAATATTTTACTTATTAATTTTTTATTTCTCTACTTTTAATTTAAGATGAAATTTATAGGTTTATTGAATATTGTGTGTTAATTACAAACATGAGTTTTGTGTTATACTAAAATGAGTATGGTGTAAAATAAGTATGCATGGGTAAAAAAATTATAAAAAGAACTCAATTATATTTGTAATTCGAGAACGAACGACTATAAATTATTTTTATATGAATTATTATATTTTTCGTTATGTGTGAACAAATGAACATTTGAACACATTAGGAAACTCAAACGAGCTTTATTGATTTTATACTTATTTTAAAATGTCATACTAATTCATATTTCAAAAGTATCATATTAGATTCACATAAGAGTTAAATTATTTACATGGAAGTAGAGATCATGATACTCAATTGCATGTTTCTGATACTCAATAAAGAAGGTTTGATATTCAATGAAAATATCTTGATGCTCAACCAACGAAGCTTATGATTTTCATATCATTGCTCATTTGGTAAGTAATGTATGCTCATTTTGTACTGGTATGGTGTTATGCTCAATTTAAAATGTTACATCAATACATATATTCAAAATAATTAGACTCCTAATACTCAACATAATAGGCTTGATGCTCATTAAAATTGCATCAATGCTCATTCACCAGAAACCGTGACATACGACTTTAATGTAATATGACACTTTTTAAATATGCATTCATATGACATTTTACATATGAGCATAAAACCAGTACCAAATGATCATATGTAAACTTCCTCTATTGAGATGAAATTCATGATTTCTATTAAATGAGCATTAATGAACTTTTAATGAGCATCGGACCAATTTTGTTGAGTATTAGGAGTCTGATATTGAGCATCGAGATCTCTGCTTCATATCTTATATCGACTTTCTTATTCTTATTTTTCCTTTATAAAAATTATTAAATTATATCTATAATCAACTACTATAAAACTTCAATATGTGAATATAATGTAATATAGTACATTTGAAATATAAATTCAGATGACATTTTAAAAATGAGCATAGATGAGTATGTATTGAGCATGTGTAACTTAGAAAATGAGCATTGCTAAGAAAATCGTAACTTTTTTTAATTGAGCATCAAGACATTTTCATTGAGCATCAAATATTTTCAATTTTTTTTTGCTCCGATTTCAGTGTTATTGAATAGTATAACTGTAATAATCTAAATAAGTAAGCTTGAAGTTACTTTTTTGAATTATGTCAAAATGTCATTTGATATTGATCATTTGTATATTGATCTAAATAAGTAAGCTTGAAGTACATTTGATATTGATCATTTGTAAAATGTCATTTT